TAGACAAATAGAGTTGTATTAATTCAAATGTCCTTTATTAGAAAATCACTGCAAACTTGTGCATTTAACAGTCTTGAGGAAACTAAATATAGTTTTCTGCTTCTTTCACATTCATCTCTAATAAACAAAAAACAACCAAGTATTTTAACAACATATATCACCTAATACAATTATCTTCCATAATGATGGGCCATCTCATATCCATCACTGTAAATGTACCAATTTCTAAAAACAACATAGTAAAGGAAATAATAATCACACTGGTATAAATCTAGGAATATTATCTTCCTATTGGCAACACAGAAAATTAAGGAGAGCAACTTTATGAATGTTGATAGTTTTGACATTAAAATTTCCTTTTTTTATTTTCTTCATCCTTATTTCTTCTTCTTGTAATTGGTATTGTGGGATACCTGAGCTGAAGTAGTTGACTGGCTGAGTTTGTTGATGTAATACAGTCCTACTATCGAACACAGCAAACTGAAAAGAACAAAACATATACATGATTAGTAACTTCATGGCACTTTAACCCAGAACCGACTTTGAGTGTACTTTATTGTTTTTACACATAGATGGCTACACTTGTACCAAGTCACCAATGAGCAGACAGTGAGTATTACTTGTCTCACCTGTTTACCTTCCTTGATTTTTTAAAATATTTTATGTTATCTTATATCGCCACCACTTATGTCAATAACATTATAGTAATTATAATGTCTAAAATAAAAATAGCACCATTGAAATTAAGACCATTAGTAAAAAACATTTTCCTGGAAATTCAAGAAGTGAAATCAGGTGAAGTCACAAGGCCTACTAATTGACTCCTTTGTGGCTAAGCACTTGCAGAGCCATCTATGTGCTCAAACATTTCACAAAAAATCTAAAATGAGCACAGCACAGTGACAATGGGTTAATACTAATATCAAATATTGTTTTCACAACTCGTCAGTTCCCATGAAGTAATATTCTCCCTCCAATCTATTCTAACAATACAGATTTGCTCTTATACAGCCAGTATCACAGAATGGAATGGCAGTCTCACACTGCACTATTTGTGATTAACTTACTCATCTGGGTATGTTAGTCACAAGCACCATCCATGCACAGGATCTATCTATATATATCCATACATATCCATAAATACATGTATGTATATATGCATATGTATAAATACATACACAAATATATATATGTATATAAAAACATATACATAAACATATATGCACATATATATACAAATATATACACATACATATATATACACACATATATATACATATATATATACACACAGATACATATACACATACACATATCATATATACATATACATACACATACATGTATATGTTTATATATATATATATATAATATGTAATATATACATATATACATGTATATATATATGTATATTTACGTATATATATATACATATATATATATATATATATGTATGTATGTATGTATGTATGTATGTATGTATATATGTATATGTATATATGTATATATGTATATATGTATATATGTATATGTATATATGTATATGTATATATGTATATGTATATATGTATATGTATATATGTATATGTATATATGTATATGTATATATGTATATGTATATATGTATATGTATACATGTATATGTATATATGTATATGTATATATGTATGTGTGTATATACATGTATATATGTACATGGTTATACATGTACATGGTTATACATGTACATGGTTATACATGTACATGGTTATACATGCATATGTATGTATATAAATATATAAATTAAAAAAAAAAAAAAAAAAAAAAAAAAAAAAAAAAAAAAAAAAAAAAAAAAAAAAATTAAGTAAATGAAATGGATTTAACCCCAGCATGCACATATTTGACAAAAGAAAATACAACTTACCATACAGTGATGGAAACTCTGTGGACCATTCCCGCAGCAGCACAAGCAAGGACGAGACACAGGGCGACCTCAGGGAGGACTCGTGCCTGGAAACCTTTGCCAAACATGATGTTTTCCAGATTGTTTACAGCCTGTATATTTCCTTAAGGAAAAATACTAAACAAGATAATAGAGAAAAAACATTACAGTCAAGGTAAGTTAAATCAGTATTAATTACATTCACTTTTATCTCACTTAACTTTTATATTCTCAATCTCACTTAATTTTCTTTTTTCTAGTACTACAGGCAGTCATATAGGCTACACCCACACCCAATTCCCCACTCTTGCTCTCTCTCATACCTAAAGAACCTTAAAATCAAACATACAATCTCATCCTTTTAACCCATTGCCGCCAGGAAAATTAACAAAAAATGGGGGAAATGCAGTACTCATTTTTTATATTTTTGTGAAATATCTCTGTCCATAGATGGCTCTGCTAGTCCTGATTTCACCTTTTCTTGTATTGGCGGGAAAAAAAATATTTTTACTAGTGCTATAAATATAGATGGTGTTATTTTTAACAGCAAATTAGGATAACGTTAAATATTTTTGTAAATCGATGAAAAGGGTGAACGGGCAAGACAGGCAGTACTCGTAATTGGCTCATTGGATACTTAGTACAAGTGTAGCCATCTATGTGTCAAAACAATCTAACAAGTCAACTCACAGTGGGTATGGCATGTACGTACATGCCATCCCCGGCGGCAATGGGTTAAATATAAAAATATACAGAAAAAAAAGGATTTAAGAGCTGCTTAACTCAAAGCATATATAAGGATACGGTCAGCATAAAGATGAAGAGCCAGGAGGCCACGTAGCCTGCAACGAGGGTCATGAGACGTGTCGAGCCCAGCTGATTCTTGTACATCTGTAGGCCCGAAAACACCAAGACAGAGCACAAAATGGCCATGCCAAAGGAGGCTCCTGTACTCACACCTGGCAATCCAGACAGAGGTGTTAGTTGGGAGGTTCCAAGGTGTGTGATATGTGGTATAGGATAATACTTTGGATGATAAAAAGAAGTGTGAATTCTATGTGGGTATGTAAATAATATATGAATTGAATTTCATTGGAAAATAATTAAAAATTACATAATAAATGTGGTAAACAAATTATCTGAAGGTATCATGAATCTCATATATCTGTTTTTTTTCCCTCTTTCTTAAAGACCATAAATAACAACAAAATACAAACCTGCAAAATATAAATTGCAAGCAAAAGCTGTAGGCAATGTTTGACAAGCAATAATAATGATGATAATAATAAATGACAAACAGTGAAATCAAAATGTGACAATTTTGTGCACTCACACAGGAAAGTTTTTGCTTAATCACCTGTTAATGACAGTACTGAATACAGAGATAGACATTTTTACTTTGAAAAACATAATAATAAATGACAAACAGTGAAATCAAAATGTGACAATTTTGTGCACTCACACAGGAAAGTTTTTGCTTAATCACCTGTTAATGACAGTACTGAATACAGAGATAGACATTTTTACTTTGAAAAAACAAAAAAAATCATTGTGATTCAAAAGATACTAAGGGATGTAAAAGTGTCTAAAAAATCACATACTTGATAAACAACTGGATCCAAAGGACAGTTCTGAACTTTAGATGATGTCTTACAAAAACATTTCAGAGCTGCTTTCAGCAAAAATCAACTCAATAAATATTCCAAAGTGAACACAGAAAAAAGGTATATGCCTGAATTCATGCACAATATCCCCATGCAAAAGTGATTTCTGTGCTTTGGAGATCTTGATTTCAAGTGATGCTATTACATTACAGTATATGATTACAAAGGATCAACCACATACATCACCAAGAAAGATTAATAGTCATCAAACTGCAATATGAGCTTGAATAGTCAAGCTTAAAGAGCCTATCCTAAAACACTGTCATTTCCGCATTCAGTGCTGCCATTTCAATTAAAAAAAAACATGTGACGTGTCTCAAACTACAAAGTCTTATGCTTATTCTGAAGTAACATCATACAATACAATGTTAAGTTTCATAAAAACGGGTGTATATTTTGTCAGTCAACAGAATCAGGTAATAAAAAAATAAAAAAATAAAAAAATAAAAATCAGCAAAGATGAGGCCAAATCACTTGCTCTTCATCTTTCTATGGAGTGAGCAGCATAAAATGAAAAATCATGGCAAGTGTTACAAGCATGAGCAACACCTATAGTGCAAAGCATTGTATAAATTCTCTTTGCAATATCTTATGCTCATTTTAATTTTGACAAATACCAACTGTCGAATCAGTTTTTACTCAAATATTGATCATTTGATCCCTGTTGAAGATATGGAGCTATATTTCTAAAGAAAATATAAACAAGTATGACAATGACACCTGAATAAAGCACAGTTGGAAAATATATAACAATATAATATCTACTACAATTATACATCATCTTCCACTGAAAACAATATGCACTAAAATGAGCTAACTGCAAGAAAAATTTACACAGCTAATGCCATCATGGTGTGCTGCTGTATGTAACACATGCCTTAAATTAGTGATCTACATATTTGCGATAAAATCATAATGTGCTTTGCAACGTGATTTTTTCCAGTCTCATACTTACGATACTCTGAATTTCTAAAATTCAAACCTGCAAAATTTAAAAAATTAAGATATACATCTGTAATACACAGAAACATACATTTGTCAGTTTCTTTGGGGGAAATTTATTACTCCAGTAATTTTGAGATAATTTTTTGATGTCATACCTTATATCAAGCAATTCCTTTAAATTCAGGGAGGTTTTTGTATGTAATGTGTACATACTTTATGTGCATTTAAGTTTATGTATGGATGGCTATAAATACAGTTCTCTTGAGTTCAAAATTCACCACTCATTGCTGCCACTGTGTGAACCTTCATTTTCAACTCTTGCACCAATTTATGTCAACAAGCAAACCAGTACAAGTTCCTGATACAAGTGAAAACAGGTACAGAGTTCAGACACTGAACATACTGAACATGAAACTAAAGGGGACCATAGGGTAAATATTGTGTGTATGAATGTATATGTATCTATTAATCTGGGTGCAACTGTGTAGGTAAAATAAAAATAATGAATAATATAGCAATATAAAGATAAGGGAGGTAGTGACGCTTCTTTTAAAAATACAGTTATAAGCGTCACCAAAAAACTACATACATGTTTTACAGAAATAAAAACAACTAAACTATGCCATTATGACAGTCTCTGCTACAACAATTCTAAAAGTATCAAAGGAAAGCTAAATATTTCAAATCATTTTTGAAGTTATTAGTAACCTTGATCCTGGAAATAAGGATAGCAACAGAAATATCACAGCTAAATAAACTGGAACAGATCTACATAAAAAAAAAAAAAAAAAAAAAAAAAATTAATACCATTCCTGAAGACCAATAGAGTCTGTAGCAAAAGAAGAATCTCATAGCAACAGTAAACTTATGCTTTTCATGTACTCCTCTCACTTTCTTCCTTGGCTGCAACTACAAATTTTCCCCATATTTTTGTAGTTAATTTTGGTATATTTTTGTATATGATAATGTGACTTTCATGACAGACTGTAAAAGACATTAATATGGTGATAAAATCCAAACAATTTTCAATTTTGATATCTTTGTCATAACATTTTCCATTATTTTTACAGTAACCATACACAAAAGTTCAATTCACAGCAGGAAGTGTAGGGATGCTCAAGAATGGTATACATTAACCCATACACACATTACTGTGAAATTGCCAGGGACATCTACAGGTCCTAATTTGTCAGGATGCACAGACTCTTGGTTTGTTGGTCTCTTCTGGAGACCAACATAAATCATAATAATACATTATAAAACAGGTAATATTTAGAAGGGGACAGACAAGGGAGACATACAGAGATAGAGGGAAATGGATAAACAATGCAGGTACAGCTGCTGCAGCCTCATATTAACCAGGAAATAATGAAAATATCCACTGCATAACCACAACACCCTCACACAACCAAAGTTCTTAACCCAATGGTGACAGGTGAAAGGATAAAGGATAAAAAAACAAAAAAAAACAAAAAAAAAAAAAAACTATGCTCTGGCAAACAATGGCGGCACACTGACTTTGAGAGCGTGAGTTCGGTACATCAGCCCAAATCACTGGCTTATTGTGCTTTGGCGCGCAGCCGCGGCGTACAGCCACACGCCACTTTTCGTCCCCGTTGTGAAGGGGTTAATGTCCATTTTCTATAAGCTGGTATGAAGTGCTAATAAGGGGGGGGGAGCCACAGGGGGGTGCTTGCCCCTATTTAAGGCATAAATAGGTAGGAAACGTTAGGATTGGATTTTTGGGTTCGCACAAGTTGATCCAGCTCGTTGAGCGGGTAGCATGAACATACTGTCAAGGGAAAATCTTGCTATAGGCAAGGTGTCGAGATCCTGCAAGATCATGTGCATTTCGGCTATAGGCTGGATGACACAAACCTGCCGTCATGAGTGCTTTGGCTGAAGGGTAATGGGAAAGACTAGCCACAAGCGCATAAACTTCTCGGGATGTTTATCAGATCCATTTGGCGATTTTTAATTATTCCCAATGCTGTACAAGTGTGGAAGGTAATGTCTGTAATGTCTGTAACATAGTGTTACATATTTTGTCTTGCACTGAGAAGTAGACTACCTAGAGATGATAAGGAGTGTGCAAAACAAACAAAAAGCAGTATTACCATCTGGATAATGCAAATCAAATGGCAAATACAAACATTTGAAAATGGCCATAAAGCTAAAAATACTTATGAATAAAATGAAGAAATAACATTACTACTTAAAGGCACATGTTCACAAGTGCCAGGCCAAACTACCACCCGGCAGAGTGCCTACTCACATAGGCCCAATGCCTAGATTTTAGGTCATGTGATTGCTGTGCCACCCAGATCCAAGGGGTGACTGCATACACTCCCTAACATTTGTCTTAGTTCAGTGGGGGCAAGCCATCAACACCGGGTTAAGACGAGCCTGGTTCTGGAAAATCACCAACACCACCATAACTTCCAATCACATATAATTTGTCAGTCTTCTTGACAATATACTGTCATATCAGGAACCAGTGAAGTCTGATCATGTCAGAATGTAAGCCGAAGTTTGTCAGCCTTTCACCGTTTGTGAAACCGTCATAAATTGAGTAAATGTTAGATGCACATCACAAATCACAATGCAGGTGGTACATTAGATTCACCTCATCCTCTAGAGATCATGTATAAGGGAATTATTGTGCTGAACCCCATATGAGAGGACATTAAAGGTTAAGGGTGAAATTACGGGGCTCAATAATTAGGACAAGGAGCAGCCGGCACTATATATACAAGACATTCACCGTAGCCTGGACGACAACCTTTACCGAAAAATAAAACACTTGATAAATTTCACACAAAATAAGTAAACCGGTCTCCACGCCAACAATCTGAAACTGTCATATTTTTAAACACTTCCAATTATTTTCGACAATGCCAACGACCTCATATTAATCTCCTTGTAAAACCTCTCTTATACATACCCATCTTTGTGTTAGAAAAAAGAGAA